CTTTTGAAATAAATATCGAGAGGTGAATAACAATAAACTAACTTTGACCACGCCTGTACGTAAAGAGAAATTGACCTGTCATAAAAAGTCAACTAGTGCGTGGTCATTTCTTATAACCACTGGAACGATGAACCCGTCTAAAAAGAGCTTTTAATCAAATATTTACCAATTAATTGCGGAAAGACTCTTACTGAGAATCCACTTCTCGTTAATGGGTGTTTTTCTCTGTGCAAAGTCTGAGTTGAGGTGTTGATTTGCTGATGTCAACGCGAGGGGCGATGAAATCGATGAACTGAGAGCACTACTTTTAGATACAAAAGTGACATCTGTTAATGGACACTCACATATATAAAAGATGGATGAAAGAACGCTCTTTTAAAGCAAAAAGTTGAATTTCACATGCTTGTCTCACAGTTTAAAGACATAAATGTTACAATTTCTTGGATCTTTCATAAGTTTCTTAGCCTGCGTTGTGTTTCAACTTTACACGCAAGAATTATGATGAACTAAGAATAAATTATTTTGTGTATGATCTGTCGTTTGTAAAGGAGAAGGGTTTTATAAAGCATGACGTATATATACTAGAGTAAGATAGAATATGTTTTATCTGATAACTAAAAATAAGAGATGTCCATATAATTTACGATTGTTGCTCAGAATTTTGAATCATGGAATCTTTCATACAAAACATTTTAGAGTTATTCCTCAGCAAAACGAGATAAAAATATAAATTGTCGAACCAGTTTTGAAGTAAGATAGTTGTACTAGAGTTTTAGTAAAATTCTTTGAATAACTTTTTTTATAAGTCTGAAGATATATTGCTTCCTATAAACCTGATTTAGCAGGAAAAATGAAGGAAAGTAGTTTTGTTGAGCCGGGAAAGCTCTCCTTTATTAACAATCAAATTCCGACTTTGAAAGATGCAAGACGCAAATTATACCTCCATTTCCCACAATTATCATGCCAAGATTCGAATACAAAAATATGTTGGAAACACATGCATAGTGACTTTGCACCCGTGTTTGCAATTGCCTCTATATTCGGAATTTCATTTTCTGATCAGTCTGATGATAACTCAGATGGACGTGTCGCTCAAACAAATCCAATCAAGAAATGCTACGATATAGCTTTTAACTTGATTTGTTTTGCTTCCTTAGTGCTCACATTGGCGTTTGAGCACAACTTTTCAGCATCTAAAGCAATGACTTTAACATACTTTATCAAGTACTTGTCGGGATTTTTAATAAGGTGCAATATGATAGCTGGGAAGAGTAAAATACCACAAGTGATTAAAACGCTTTCTCAACTGTACACCGAAGTTTCATCTGATGCCTATGACAGCCTGAAAGTTAAAATATATTTTGAATGCGTTGTTATAACCATACTAGACTTATGCTTGTTTGGAGTATCAACAGGTAGAATAATCATCGAGACTCATAGGAGCAATTTGACTGATCTCACCATATTTGGATATCCTTTGCAGGATACTTGCAACACTTCTTCAATGCATATTTTAGTTTTAGCACACGCTCTGACCTATTTCATTTCAATATTTACGATGACAGCTTGTATACTTGCTTGCTGTAATGTTCACATTATCCTCCACCGCCTTGTTCGAACTTATAGTAAAACTCTTGTTGAAAGCATCAAAGTAAAATCAACGAAAGAAGGATTCGCCGAAGATTTCGTTACATTTCGAAGAATTATGTATGGTATAGATGCAGCTGACAATGCACTGTCATTCGTAACATTCTTCGCTTACGTGGCCTGCATAAGCTGTTTCTTCTACACTCTAAGTTCGTTCCTTGCTGCAGAAAATTTTTTGGGGAGGCCCTTTTTCCTGGCAGAAAATGCTTTTGTTTTCCTTTTCTCAGTTATTATTTTCACTTCACTTACCTGCAGTGGTATTTTAGTTTCAAGCGCTGGGGAGAAGTTGAAACACCGTGTTGTGTGCATTTCAGAAATTATTTTGAAGAAGAACTTACCGAGTGAAACATTACTAAGCTTCATGATATTGTTCGACAACATAAAATGTTCGAATACAAATATGTCCGGATGGGGAATGTTCGTTATAACGAGAGGTTTTGTCCTCTCTTTGGGTGGTGTCCTGATAACTTATGGGGTGTTGTTGTTTCAATTTGGTCAATGATCTTCATAACGTGTAGATGAAGTAATTGAATTATTGAAAAGCATTTAAAATTTTATGTTAATATTATAGTTTTATATTAATAATTCTAATTTATTCATTATAATTATGTCAATTTTATAATTCGAATTTACTAACCCAATTTTCATGATTATCTCCACTTTCGCTGCATTCATGTGAAAATAAATGGTAAGTTGCTGTGTTCATTCTGTTGAAGTGTAAAACTGCTTCTTGCAGCAGAGGACAAAATTTCAGTAGTTAAAACTATTTTTGAAACGTCTTTTATTACAGCTTTCGTGAATGATATCACATTTTCCAAAGCATGAGAATTTCATCTTGATTTTTCTTTCTAAGAACAGCAATTTTGAAAACACGTGTCCAAAACTGGATTCTATTATAAGTATTTTATTAATTTAACACGTATTATTATAATAGTGATAACTTTTCTTTCTCATTTTCTTATTAAGTCACTGTTTTCCTTTTCTATTCAATGAAAAATCCTCAAATAGGAGCTAACCTACTAATTCCTTCCGTTTCCAATGATTGGTAAGAACTCAATAATCATTTAATAGTTGTCAACTAAATATGTTTCAAAACTTCTGCTTCGAGTAGAAATGCAGCTATCCTTGGAATAACATGACAATTTTGTAGTTATTTTTGAAGGATTGTTAATACATTTTTTTTTTTAAATCAGAAAGCTTTTGAATTTGCACAAATTGTTTCGTGAGTATTAATAACAAAGAGTCATTTGCTGAAGTTAGAAAGACAAAATCAGGTAAAAACAGCTTTAAAATAAAAACATCGCTGATTATTGAAAGTAAATAGAGCTTTTAATACCTTGCATATTCTAATCAATATAATTTTGATTAACGATGTAAATAACTGTGAAAATACAGCTAAACTTTCCTACTTTCCTTATTAGGAACAAGATTATTTACCTTTTGGAGACACGTTTAATAGTTTTTAAACTTACTATTCAAAATTCTAATATAATTCATAATTGAAACTGTTGTATAGTGTATAGCACGTATGTTTTAGATTAGTGTTGAAATACTTCATATACTTTCAACTAAGTATACCTAATCTATAGTATTGAACTTATTAAATTGTGATTTAGAACAAATAAGTGAAAATGTTTTAATTAGCTCATGATAGTTGTTTTTCAGCTGATCTGAAAAATATGTATCTTGACTGCCCTGATAAGCAGCTATTATAAATAGTAATTCAAATAAAAATTTGTTTCCTAAGCAGTATGCTGCTTAGAAATCTGTTTAGCATTCATTTAAGTATACGTTAATGCCTAAATATCTTAACCTTAATATCTTGATTATTGAGTTATGTGATAACAGTATACCTTTTATAGTATTCTTTAAATTTAAAAAAAAATAATAATAATTTTTTGAATTCATTTAATTCAAAAATATTAATTCAAATACATTTTTGCTTTGATGATTGTAGTTTTAACATCAAAATACATATATATGTAGCTCTATGTATTATTAAACCATACATTATATTATAATTCTACACATTAAAGGCAAATTAGCATTCTATGCAATACTTGTTCTAGCAGCAAAATATTTAGTAATCACGATTTGCATAGTTTTGATCTTGTTTAAAACTTAAAAAGTAATATATTTAATTTTGTTTAAACTTTATTTGAGTTCTCCATTTTAAATTTTGTCTTGCTAATTTTTTATTATTAAGATTGTAACAATGTAAATGGCTGTTCAATGTTTTGAACAATTTTCATTGTTTCGAAGCAATATTTAGAACAACAATTGTAAACGTTTGGAGAAATTAAAACCTTTTAGAACAATCGTTTAACTATACCTGATATTTTAATAAGAGAGAATTTTGAAACGTTAGTTTATAAATTTACGAATGATGTAAACAAAACCTAATTCGCAGTTTTTCCCCTTTTTCTTTAAAATTTATTATTTTTTAACATGAGTCAAATGTATTTTTTTTATCAAAATTTCTGTTTTAGAGAAAATGAGGAAAGAAATTTGGAAAATGTGCTTTAAAATTTTTTTTTATTTTTAACATGAGTCAAATGTATTTTTTTTTTTATCAAAATTTCTCTTTTGGAGAAAATGAGGGGAAAAAATTTGGAAAATGTTTTGGTTTTCAAAATTTCGATTTTGGAGGAAATGTGGAAGAAAAATTTGAAACATGTTTGTTTCGGCGGAACTTTGTTTTCAAAATTTCCATTTCTGAGGAGAGGAAATGTGGAAAAAAATTTTTAAAAATAATTGATTAAATAGAATTTGGTTTTCAAAATGTCTGTTTCTGAGAAAATGTGGAAAAAATTTTTTTTAAAGAATAATTGATTCAATAGAATTTGGTTCTATAATTGCCTGTTTCTAGAAAATGTGAAAAAAATTTGAAAAATGTTTATTTTGGCGAAATTTTGAGCACAGCTGAAGAGAATTTAATTTTTTTATAAAAATTTTGGTGCAGGTTTTGAAAAATTTGCTTTACTTAACATTTATTACAGCTAAAAAATAGCGGAGACGATCATAGTACTAAAATTGGAACAATTATATTTTACTTAAAGCATTTTTATCATGAAAATTTAAGAATTTACAATAAAAAAAAATCTTTTTTTGTAAATACATGAACGATTTAAAATATTATATTTTGCGATGAATTATTTTTTACAACGCACTTGGATAATAATCTCAATATTCCTGTTTAAAATTAGAAAGTCAGAAAACGATTAATTTTTAAGCAAAAACAAAACTCATTTCTGTTAAAACAAGATCCTTCTTCACACTTCGTTGGTTATTTCAGTGAAAAGTGTCACTTTTCAACAACTAGAGAAAGAAAATGACGATTTTTCATGCATCATAAGTTTTCAGACCATCTTAAATGACAGATGATCAATGACTAATCAGTTAAAAAACTAATCGCCATTGAAAAGTCACCGAATAGCAAATCAAGTTAAGCTTGCAACCTTCGATAATGAACTTCTTAAAAAGTGAAAATTGCACCATCAAGCATTGAAACTTCGCACTGCAATATTTTTGTTCTCGGAAAGGTGATTTACTTTGTTTGGCAATGAAATAGTCTTTGTTGGAAGCATACTATAAAAGGATTTGGTGAATTAGGTGCTACGACAAAAAACCAATTCGCATTGTTGATAGATACTCACTGATCTACAATCATGAAATTACTTTTGTTTGGAAGTTTAGCTCTTCTTTTGGTATTAGATATATGTTCTGGAATAGCTGTAGAGAAAACTTACTTGGTGTCACTTAGAAAAGCTGAGTTTTTGAGCATTATAGATTGCATTTCTAAAAGTAAGTACTATTTGTAATCTTGAAAGTTTTTAGTTATATATGGCTTCTGTTCCTTGATGGTGGTCCGCGGAACCCTAGTGTTCCGTGAAAGAGTTAAACAAATTCCGATAGGTCGGACTTTTTTAAAAAAAATTTTTTTAAACATTTTTTGAAAGTAGTAATTATTGTCAGATTCAATTAATCATTCATTATTTACTAAATATTTTGGTTGTTTTTAAGATATTATTTAAAGTATAATACCAATGAAAAGGAAATAGCACATTTTTTGCGAAAGCAAATACAAGTTGAAAATGAATTTTAAAAAAAATTCTGAATTACGGTTTTTGAAAAAAAAATTATTATGAATGTTGACATTGGTTATTAGGGAAACATATTTATTTCGCTACTTAAAAAAGTTTGATGAGAAAAAGTGATAAATTTTTTTTACAAATGCATATCTTCTTCATACCTTATTCAATATAATGTTGAAATTTTCTTATGAATTTTTACTTTGTTTTTTTATTGGCGTTTTTCTCAAATAATTTCCTTAAAATAACCAAAATATAAATTATTGATAATTGGTTGGATATAAATATCATGACATGTTTTATTAGTCGTTGCTGGTACAAAAAAAGTCTTAACTTTCGAAACCTTTGTGACCTTTTCTTGGATATCTAGGGTTCAGCGTAACATCTTTGGGGAACAACAACTTTAGAAGTAAAGACACCATTTTCTAATCTAAAGAATCAGTATTTCTAGAGTATTTTGAAAAAATACAATTTTCACACAGGTGAAATTACGGTGGCATTTAACGGATAGCAAAGAAAGAAAAAAGAAATCAACTACCAATCAATTTTATTTTTTCTTCAGTTTCAAATCAATAAAAGTAATTTTTAAGAAAAAAAAATCAATGGAAGTTTTGAAATATTTAAAAGTATTAACCAACTATACATTTTATTCTTTTTATCTCTAGCTTCATTAACTTTTGAATTTTTCGTTTCTCATTTGTTGATATTATTTAATTTATGATGTATAGTGAAATATTTAAAGATATGCTTAGCGTTAAAGATGCATATACAGATATTGAAATAAAATTATAAATTTTATTTTTTTATGATTATCATGTTTTTCTTACAGTAACGGGAATGTTATTATAATTTTCAAATCCTCTAATTGTTAAAATGTGTATTGATTTAATCGTAAAAAATAACACCCACTAAGTTTTATCTAATGTAGAAAATGCGAACGTAAATTCAGCAAACATACTAATATGCTAAACAAAATTGTCTTAAAAATAGATACACACAAACTTTTGTTAGATGCAAAACAGGGCTCGAAAAACCACCCTTCCGCCCGTCCTCGGCGGTCAAAAATTCCCTGCGGACAACAAATATCTCGAAACCGACGTCCGCGCGGACGGCCATTTTCCCATTAATATTCGTGATATATTTTCAATTTTTGTTATCTTACAAGAGTCTAGCGCCTCACTTCTAAAATGACCCTCTAATCTAGAAATACAGCAACATACTGAGCTTGGTGGAATTGATGTTTTCTCTGTCTGGGAGTACTGCAGTGGTTGAAAGAGGCTTTTCAGCAATGAGCTTACAAAAAAACACATTACGTACTGGTCTTAAACAAGAAGCGTTAAACGCAATTATAAACATCCACCTAAATGGAAAACCCCTTTCAGATTTCTGTGCAGAAACCTCTGTAAATCATTGACTTGATTGTGGAACTGGCAAACGTCATATTTGTTTCATTTAAAAAACGAAGTACCCTCGGATAAATTGACATTCCAGATAACTTGACCTTTGTCATTTAAATTATTTCATAAAAGAAATAAATTATTTCATAAAAGAAATACTAGGTTTTACTATTAGTAACCTAGTATTTGTAATCCTAGTAACTACTAATTCATTGTGCAATTTATATAAATGTTTGTAATAAATAAGAGAAAATTATATTTTTATTTATTTAGAAGCTACGGGTTAGTTTCAAAGGAGGACGGGTACATTGTTGGACAAGCCGTCCTCGGGGACGGGTAAAATTTCTGACTTTCTTCGAGCCCTGATGCAAAAGGTTATGAAGTTGAAATAATTAAAAAAAAAATAGAAAATAATTATTCAAAAATATTAATGAACGCAATTTAAAAAGAAAATTGAATTTATATATGACAAATGTAATTCAATAAAGATTTATATAAATGTTTTTAAGAAACAAAAGGATGCATTTTAAAGTATTTTCAGCTACCAGAGTTAAAACTAAGCTTCTTTTTTATTTTTAGGTCGAGATCCATTCTTGTGTCGAGCCTATGGAATATGTGAAAAAGAATTGCCTCCAAGAGTAAGTCAAATAAAGAGCTTTTTTGGAGTCTCGGTTTTGAAAGTCCCAGTTATAAAAAGCTTTCTTCGAATTTATTTTAATTAAAGCTTTTTTACGAATCGATTTTAAATAAACTTTATTATTTTCTTGCGAAGCTTTTAAAGTAGTGCCAGTGCAATTTAAATTACTTTTGGTTAATGCAGGATAAAAAAAAAAATTCACACATAATTTAGGAGCCTTTCCTGTTTCTATAAATATTATATAAAAACAAACTGCCAAGATGAAATTTTCTTGTTATCAAAATTCGTTACAGTATGTAACAAATCTCGTGAGGTTATTCTTCCCTTATACCCTCAAATTATATTTTATTTTACAATCGTCGTTGAACAACCGACTCAATTTTTGGATTTACAACTACTCAACTCCGTTGCCTTGTAACCCGATGCAGAAGACAAGGAAACTTCTGGATTTAGTATTTGGAGAAATTTGCACTCGTGGAGGACTTTTTGATTAAACTAACCCGCATTGGCGTTAGGGGACGACTCTAACCCGTGATATTTTACATGAGCACTGTGATCAGTGCGAGCCGGGTGCAGAAATCGTACCGACCAGTCATCGCTGGAATTCGAACCCGGTTCACCTCGTTGGAAGGCGAGCGCTCTATCCTCTGAGCCGCCAGGGCTCAATACCCTCTAATTCGATATTATAACAGCACTGCAAGCAAGTACAGCATTGATTCGACAAGCGCATGACGTTTCTTACAGGTATCCAATTAAATCTAATTTAAATCACTTGGGTTGGCACAATCACTTCTTTTCAAGTTGCTAATGCCCAATTGCGAAATGTTTCGAAAAGTCGTTGAGGTAAGCTATACGAAAAAGGCGCATGATAAGTAATGTTATAAGGACCTTGGTTCCACGTATTTAAAAACAATATGTGAACTAATCTATGTAGTCAGTGTCAAAATGCCTTCAAGAGCTCATTGTTGTAAAGATATACTGCGTCTAGTAATGTATCTAAAGAAGGCATAGTATAAACTGACTGAGAAAATAGTTGTTTTGAAAAAGAGCGATATTCTAGTTTCTTTTTCCAATCAATTCACAGAGATTAATCGTTGTTATTTATTACGTTAATCGATTAAACGTTGTTATTTGTTTTTTCAGGTATTTGCAGCTCATCAAAAGTGTCAAAAAGAACATGTAGGACATGAAGTTGTGAGATGCTCAACACATAAACCTCTCTTCAAGGATCTCGTTATTCCATCAAAGGTAAGATATAATCCTTACTATTTAAAAAGTTTTCATCAAAGGGAAGTTTTTCAATAATATTTTTTTCTATTAATAGTAGATGCTGAAAAACTAAAAGTTTTTGCAAAATTCTATGTTGAAACGTTTTGTTTTATTTGAAAAAAGTTCAAAAATTTGTCTTTTATAAAAGTTTGGAAAGCAAAAACTAAATATTTAAAAAACGATCAAGATAAAAAGTATATGTTTGGTTCAATGTTTCAAGATATTCTTACAGTTTTATTTACTGATTTACTAAAATTTTTGCTGAATAAAAATTAACGTGTAAATAAAATACAAATACAAACTCAGCTTTTTTTTTTCTTTTTCTTTTTTTTCTTTTTTTTTGAGAGAGAGAGACAGCATACTCTTAAACTAGATAAGGAAAAAATGGCTAGTATCAAACCAACTTTTTCATGAATGCTATTGATGAATATAAAAAGAAAGAAAAAACATTTGAAAATACTCTATCTCATCCTTAGATGTGATGAATAATTGTTATGAACATATGATGCAAACTAATCCTAAAAAAGAAATGTGGACACCATGCTTACATAGATGAAATTTAATCTTCTTAGAAAATTACTTAACCCAAAAAGACAAAAAGATATTTATTTTTGAACTAAAGTTCTACTAACAAAGTCTAAATTATTACCCATTCCTGAGGAAATTTTGAATTGAAGATGAAGATGGACTGGACATCATACTCTTCGTTTAAAAAGGGATAGCCCTGCTAACGTCGCACTTACTGGGGTACCTGATGGAAAAAGTAAAAGAGGAGGGCCGAGACTATAACTTGACAAAAATACATGCATCAAGATCTGTGCAAGCATTCATCAAGGGTGAAAGAGTTTTAGCTTTATAGAATAAAATGTACATAGTTATAAAGAGTTATATATTTTTTTTATAAAAAAATAAAGTTATATACTTTAAATTGTATCGCATAAAATATAATGTTCATATTTTTTTTCTTTCAGATTTTTGATTGTATTGTTGAAGTTTTGCACGTGGTAAGTGCAAATTGAGATAATTTTTATTCTCTTAGTACATTTCATTTTCAGATAAAACTATTAAGTGAATAATTTAGTTTACAACTCAGTTTTAGTATGCAGGTAATTTAGGATAGTTATTATAATTATTTTACTTGTCTGATAAGCTCATTAATTACTGAAATTAATTTTTAAGTCAAAAATAAATTCTTTTCGCATTCTTTTTTTTTGGGGGGGGGGGCGGCTATTTAGATTAAATTTTGCTTAAATTTCGCTACTTATTTTTTTAACGAAAATATTTCAGATTTGGACCATGAATATAATTAACTGCTAAAATTTTTTATTTATTAAAGAAAGTTTTTTATTAAATTATTAATATAAAAATTAAATCTTGCTTATTTATAAGCATTTACGTATAGGTTACAGTCAATATTTGACTTATAGAATGCCTGTAATCGATTGGCTAAGTATGAAACGATCAATGTTTCTCACATTCTATAGAATAATTAATAAAAAATTTACAAGCATAAATGATAAGGCAAAATATCAAATTCTTGTTTTTCATATAATGTCAGAAGATATGAAGCACACACAAATAAAGTATTCTATAGAAAGAAGAAGCATTTGTCTTTCTAAAGGATGCCTAGGCATGATACATTCATAAACAAAATATATAATAACTAACGTTTTTCATACTTACCTAAAAACTTTTACTCGAAACATGACAAAACTATAAAAAACTATAGATAGCTATAGTATGAAAACCTACAGATTCAAAATAATAATAAAGATATACTATATAGATTCAAAACTTATAAAACTTACTCAATTTAAGTAAAATTTTGTAAGGTAATCTTAAAGCAATTTATTAAGTAATAATTCCCAATTTACCTAGAAGATTTGTGATTGAATCTCTTTTCTTTTAACGTACTTGGATTTTTTGACAATATTTTTAGCACGAATCACATAAATAAGTGATTATAATAATACTTTTTGAAAGTTTAATTTCAGTAAATATTTTTTTAAAATAGTAAGATTTGAGTAAGTAAAATTTATTTTTTAACCTTTTATTAACACGTTTTTAACTTTGCTAAGTTTTTTAAACTGTCTTTAAATTAGTTTTAAATATCTAACAACAGAAGTTTTTGAAAAAAATTATTTTAAATGAAGTTTGAATGGAAAATATGACAAGTGATAAAAAAGTACTTAAACAAATTTAATTTAATATCTATTTTTTAAAACATTTAGTTTGATATTGAGATTTTTAAAAGTGCTACTTAATACCATCGAATGATTTATATATTTTTCCATGTTATCTATTTACAGCTTACTCCGGAAGAAAAGAAGATTATGATAAAATTTGAAGTAAGTTTTAATTATTTAAAATTGTTTATATTATACTGAAAAAAGTAACAAATATATTTTAACAAATTGATGACAAAAAATTATGCGTATGCAAGGTGCACCATAAAGTCTGTGCTTAATATATAATTATAGTACCCTTGTCAAAAATAAAGTCATGTATCCATATTAGAAGTCGCAAATTAATGTGTGAATGATAAAAAACGATATTTAAATCTAAATGATCACTATCGAGGAAGGAGAGGCTGAAAATTTTTTAGAAACCGATTTTTAGAAACACCTCCGAGCTTCTTTATGCTGTCTAACATGTTTCAATGTTTTCATCACACTTTCCACACTAGTGATTTGACAGATTTTATTATCACCTTTGTTCTTTTCTCACTTAGTTACTAATTTGAAATCCAAAAAAACTGTTTATTTTTTGACAAGGACTCTAAAGATATAAATTAAAATTGGTCGATGCGGAACATTCTACCAACATAAGTATCACTAGAACTTTATGCCGAACTTTTCTTTTGCCTTGAATCTTATTAACTAATAATGTTTTTCAATGGAACTATGATGAACATTAATATTTATTCGTAAGTCTAAGTTTGTTTATATCAAAGCAAGATAAAACCGTAATTGTGGCGTTGAAATCATTCTAAATACACCTATGAAAAGAATTAAAGGGAGGAACGTTTTTTAAACTTTCATGGTTTACACTTTCATGGCTATGACAGCTCACTCGCTTGATATTTTAATTCTTTGTTACAAACTCGAAAAAGGGATGGTGAATTTCTTTGTCTCTGTGTAAGAAAAATCTAATTTTTTTTAAGTGCACTGTTGAGTAAAATGAATAAATATTAGAAGATAAAATGATACAATTATTTTTGTTCTAATTTTAAAACTAATCGATTCGAAGGAGGAATGTTTACATGGTGAATAATTATAAATTTTCTACCAATATTAAATAGATGATGACAAGTGAGGCAATGGAGTATTCTATAAGTGAAAATTTTTCCAAGAAAATAAGAGAATTTTTGGGCCAAGTATCAGGATGATGTTTTAGTTTTTCAATAACAAAATTTAAAAAATAAAATAGAAAGAAAACTGAGAATATTAATACCCAAAAAATATAAACAACAAATTTACTTTTTTAATTTATATCTTTTAGTAATTTTAATAATATTTGTCTTTGCATTTTTAATACTAATAATCATTCTGTTAATTACGTAGTTTAAAAGTATATGGTTCTAATAATTGTGTGTACATATTTACAGGAATGTGCAAAAAAGTTGCAAGTCGAAAGTTGCAGTATTGTTGATCATCATGCTCATCGGAAACATCACCATCATCATCATCATGGTCGATGAAAATGTCTAAATGAGATTTTGGAACTAACAAGAACATAAACGTAATAATTCCATTTCTGTAGTGTAAAAAAATCATTGTTATTTACTAAAAAACAAAATGTATGCTTGATGTTAAATTTTATGTATAAAATAATAAAATGAACAATTAAAAGAAAAATTAAATGTCACACTTAAAGAAAATACTGTTGTGTTCACTGCTGTTTTTATTATCAGACAACTTATCTCAGAGACCTACGAAGTCTCCTCATCAATATCTTTAAAAAAATAATGACTTTTTTCTTTCATTAATTTTCGACAATTTTGTTAACATCAATTACAGGGCAAAATTATTTCGACTTTTAACTTTTTTTAAAAATCTATATGTAATTTCCATTAGTTACAGATTAGGCTTGCGAAAGAGATTGATAGCGGTATCACTTACCACAGGTGGTGAAGTTTTCACTCTTCTCTTAAAAAAAAAAAAAAAAAAAAAAAAAAAAAAAAAAAAAAACATGATTTTTCGAAGCTTTTTCGTCAAGGAAAACAAAAAAGCCACAGTTTATGCGTTTTAATTTTAAACTATATATGACGATTTGTTGTGAAGAATCCTCTGGACTTTAGAATGGACAAATTAGTTAAATATTCTGAAAGTTATTAAACTTTTTTAAAAATCGCCAATTTGGCGATATTTTTCCACCTGAACGAAAATTATCAAAATCAATGCCTTATTCTTATTTTTGCAAATTTTTATGAGACCAAATAACGGAGTAAGTTTCAAATTTTAACGAAGTAAGTTTTAAATCAGCAATGGAGTAAGTTTTAAATCTTAAAAAATTAGACCACAAACGTTTTCTATTGTCTCAAAACTATGAATTTTCTCCATAAGGAAATTTTAGGCTAGAATAAACATAGAGGGCTAAAGATATGCTAAATTTGACCTAACAATCAAGAGTAAGTGTTGCAAACTCACACCAGCTATGAAAATAGCACATTATTTGCAAAAAAGCTGTTACCATAGAGGCTTCGAAAAAGTCTTAAATGTGGTAACTAAGATCCATTAAATACATTTTAATGGATGAAATGTTAAAAAAAATTTAATAATTAGGAATGGAATTCATAAAATAATCCATAGGTTAACATAGGAAGCAAGATAGAAGTAGAGTCAGACTTTATGATTCTCTGAAAATTTCTTAAATTGAAATAGGCTTAGTGAGGGAGCATGAAAATTTCTTTGGAAGGAATTTTAAACCTGGTAAATTCAGTTTCTTCTCTAAATATGGATTTAGCCCTAAAGTGTTATTTAATAAGTAGAATTGAATTATTTCTATGAAGTTATTATAATGTATGGCGGCGAGTGACACTAAAATAAAATTCGTAGGATCCATCGAAGGTTGTCTTTTCTTCAATTTTTCGCTGGAAAAGGTTGTTCAAGATTCAAATTTGGACACTCGCGAAAACATAATTTGCAAATCAATTCAGCTCTTGGTTTATACTGGTGTTGTTTGGAGTGTACCAGACTTAAGAGAAGCAATCTTCTCTTATATGGGGTTTACAGTCTTTTTATTCGAATCACCGAACCGAATCACTGAATCAGTGCCCAGCTCTACAGTAGGCTCGATTTTCATAAGTTCTAAGGATTTATTTGTAGGACTAAAAATAATTTATAAGATTATAATTATTTATAAATATTGTAGTAATTTATAGATCTTAAAATTTAACTGTTTTGGAAGAATGATTTTATATTATTTTTTGTTCATGAATTTTTTATTTTATTAATCCTTGCAAATTAGAGAATTATTAAAATGCTCTTCCTCGCGTGGAGATAAATTAAGAGGGAGGAAAAGTTTATTTTTAGACTAAGACGGTGTGAAGAGTTTCACAGACGGCTCTCTCCATTTCGTTGGAAAGGTAAATAGAAATTTTTTTCTTCTTTCATTTTAAACTTGGCTTAAGTTTCTTACGTGTTAAAATTTGAAAAATCGAAGGAATAAGCTTTTCATTTTATAGAAATCACTCTCTGTAACAATTCTACATTGGAGAAAGATTTAAAGTTTTTCAATGTTATAGTATGGCAGAATTTTGCATGCCTGCCAACTTTTATCGTTTCGGAGGATAAGTTTTCCAAGTCGTAGTAAAATGACAATTGAATACAGAATTCCTTTTTTATAATTTTAAAGAAATAATTGATATTTTATTTTGCCGAGCCCAACACATCGTACGATTATCATGCAACTATAAATATGTTATACTATATTTGTAGTAGTCAAAAAATTATTTAATATTTGTAGTAGTCAAAAATCACTATCAATCAAATTTATAAATCTGAGTTAAATAGAAAAGGCACTGATTTTGCTATTGCTTTAAATACAATAATGAAAGTCTCATTATTTAAGGTTTGAAAACAAAGTGCTTGAAAGAAGAGCGTAAATAACGTGATAGGCTTTTATGAATTAATGTCAAAATTAGCACAAATATCAGAAAAATTTATAAGTCAGCTATTATAAAAAAAAAAAGCTATTATACACAGTTTTTTAAAAAAGAAATTAGAATAGCTGAGTTTTTTTTATCGATTTGATATGGTTACAGTGGCGTACGCATAATTTTTTCGAGGGGGGTGTTCATAATTTTCTGAAACTACTAAAAGAAATTCGAGTATGTAATAAAGCACTATTATTTCCCTAATTTAGACAGCTAGACAGTTTTTACTTTTTATTTAGACAGCATTGTTTAGTTAAATTTTGATTTGATTTTTTAAGTTTAAGAACATAATGAAATATCTTCTGAAAAATGTCCAATGTCATATGGGTGGGAAGTAGCACTTTGAGGGCCACTTTCTTATTCATCAGATTTTGTTATGCTAGAAACGTTTTCTTCAACGGAAGTATGACATTTCTGTTCAACAGAAAAACTTTTATTGGTTCTAGATGCTGTCACCTAACTAATTTCAGGTCGGGATTTTTTATCAAAATAATTCAAAATTGTTACATTCTTGCGAACCAGCCCGTAACAGTATCACGTGAATTTGGTTTCAAAAGTATAACCCTTTTATAGTAAATGTTTTTTCAGTATTCTGAGAAATACCGTGAAAAATGAAAGTAGGCATAAGGCAAATAAAAATATATAGTCTTAAAAAATAATAGCCCGCATAACTTCTACTAAAATTTTTATTTTTGCCAGTTTGTCTGAGCTCAAGGGGGGAGTTTAAACCCCTAAACCCCTCCCTTGCGTACGCCCCTGTATGGTTAAATAAAATTTAGTAACGTATCGTGTAAGAATTACATCGTGTAAGAATTACATTTAGTTTGATAACTGTAATAAACAGTTATCAAACTTTATCTAACTGCGATATGAAAGCAGTGAGAACGTACGTTCATTGTCCAAAGGTTTAGCCCATAAGCAAGATCAAAAGTAGAAACTTATTTTTTACTTTCTGTAAATGTGCCTCTTTTCAAAGTTGAAACGTTTGTCCAGTTTCCCATATATCCACCAAATTGGTCGATGCCTTTTCATAGGTACTGTATATTTTGTGCATGATGTCCTACCAGCTCCGCGCCATGCACTTGAGAAAATACTGTATAATTCGCAAAAAAAAGAAGAAAGAAAACAAGCATCATAATTTATTTCTGACCTAATGAAAGAATTTTCTTGTACAAATCTAAAGAAATATTATTTCCAGATTGCCCTTTCACATCACTAACATAACATGCAACTCTATTTTGCTTGAATGTTTTAAAATTTCCTAGTATTAATTGTTTTCGTTTTTTAATGGCGCTTAACCCTTTGACGCAGATAGGACTTAGGTATCCCTTTTATGTATATATTTTTTCTGACGCCCTAATTACAAGCAAAAATATATTTTGGTATTTTTCTATCATAAAAACAGTCAAATAATTACTAAAAAAATGTGTTACATTATCTGATTTATATTTGTACTAAAATATAAAGTACAAAAAAGCAGTTAAACATTTTTTTCTCTTCACATTCATAAATTAATCAATAATTGATTTTGTGAATTAAAGAAATTTCAAAGATGAGTAACTGTTTATCTTAACTGATATAACTACAAATAAGTGCAGATTTAAAAACTTGTTTGGAAGTGAGCCGTGTTTGGAAAATTTTACATAAAACTCAGAAAGTGACACCGATGGTTCATGATAACCATAAATTACTAAGATGCTTAAAATATAATTTTTCACATATTTGAACATAAAATAATACAAAATAATAAAAAAAAATTATGAGAATATGTTTAATAATAATTCTGTGACAAAGGTTAAATTTATTCAATCAGGACTACATAAAGCATTATCCAAGTTTATAAATGTGTCTCTGTAGATTGCCGCAATATCTGAAATCAATTGTTCAAATAAGTGCAATAATGTTTATCCAGGTGATATAACATTATCTCAGACAGTCTAATTTACATTGATTCATCATGATCGACTTATCCAAAGTTATCTTCTTATCTTATTAACATAAATTTTAAAAAAATTCTTCATTGTTTTCTGCTTCCTTCTTCTGTATTAAATTTTATATCGATGTGCATTTTTTCCTTTTTTTTTTAATAAAGGAAAAATGTGAATGTCAAAAATAAGTGAGTAAACATGATTTGAGTGGGGTAAAATTTCAAAACCAAATCTCGGTACATTTATTTCATCAATGCCAGGCTACAAAAAGTGATCCATGAAAACCACATTTTATTAGAAAAGTGGTTGTATAGATTTCTTTATACTAACTTATACACTTAGTGCTTTTTGTCACATTCGCATATCTCGGCATATATATTATTTATTTTTAACAACATACCTGGCATATTCCCATCCAGAAATCTCTAGATCTCCAACAAACATCATGAATTGCAAAGTAAGCTCGGTCCTCCCTCTGGTTTTTTTCCCTTCTGGGGCCCATGTGACAGCAACAGATGTTATTTACAGATTTGTTTATACCATTTCGATATTTCTTTCTGTTGCCTACTATTTTAGTTTTAAAGATAATTTTGACTACAGATCCAAATTTAAATAGTTGTATTATTGTAATACTATAATAGAACTATATATAGACAGAACAGTTCCTGCAAAATAAATCTGAAAAAATGAAATAATTATGTTACCACTTTTTATGTGAAAGAGACCGTCTTTTTGAAAAGTACGTTAAGCATAAATGGTTTTAAAAAAACGTGCAAAAAATCATATAGTGAACCTGATTTTATATTTCTCTCAATAAAATTAATAGAAACATTTGTATGAAATTAAATTTTCGCAAATATTTGAAATGAGGTGACATCTGTTTACATGTGACACATATTTGAAATTAAAATTATGAAATGTGATTGTTAATCGCATTTCATAATTTTAATTTCAAATATGTGTCATGTACATTTTTCATGTACAGTTCATTATTTTTTTTTAAAAGTAATTTTTCATTTTTTTACGATAAAGTAATTTTTCATTTTTTTTTGTTACATTAACAAAATGTTCTTACATAAAATTATAGTAATTAAATAAATTATAAATAAAATAGTCTTTTATCTTATTTTTATTTTTTAGCCTCTTTTTTTTCAGCATATATGAAAATCTGAATCCATATTTTAAACTTAATATTAGATAAATGCTAAGATAAAAAATTATTATTTCCTACAAAATATTTTTAAGTATTTCGTAGACATAAAAAATATTTAAATTTTAATAACTTGTAACATCAAAATAAACTTCGTTTGATGAAAGTTTATATTTTATAGTTTAGTTTATATTCCTCGTAAAATATTTTACTTAGCAAAATATTAATCGTTTAAATTTTTAATCTCCTTAATAGTAATAAATTTAAAATTTTAGTATCTTCTGTGACTTTTAGTTCTTACAAAATAAAACAGAGAGACAAATCTAGAACAAAAACAAGGAAAATTTTATTTGCTTATCTGAAATATTTTATATAATGTAATCGTTTCATTAGTCATGCAGTAATCAGCATCCATAAATTATTTATATTTTTTAATGACAGAAATCATACAAAGCAAAAGAAAGAAATATTTTCCTCAAAACAATTACAATTATAGTATTCGTACAATCCTAATAATAGAAAGATATATTTTTTACTATGTAAAAAATCTATTTTTTACTTGCAAAATAAAAAAAAATTCACCATTTTGGTCTATAGTACTATGATACAAAATACTTCACCTGAACGAAAAAGTTAAATTAGTTTCAATTAAAAACAATAGAGGGCGTTATTAAACGAAACGATTTTTAGTTTCGTTTTTGATTTTATCTGATATCTGTAAACAAGAACTATCTTGTTGAAACAGAGTTTAAATTTGTTTATGTAAAATATCAAAGCGCGGGAAGAGAGGTGATAAAAAGAGTTCATAATCTATTTCTTTGAACATTCTTTTGATCTCCAGCGTTTGATTTTATACCGTTAATTTACTGAGTAAGTGGTAAAAAAAAAATTGCATTAAATAACCTTGTGAATTCTTCGAATTATGGAAAATATTTGTTGCATTATTGATATGGACGGATTTTGTGTTAATGTTTTTGACAATCACGGCGTAACTTATAAGTCGGAATTTTTTCTCCGAGAACTTGGTTTTATCAAAGTAAAAGGTAAGAAGAAATTCCTGCCATGCTCTTACCGCTTTGATCTTCGTGGTGAATTAAATCTGGAAAATTGCTCGCCGAATGATATTCAAACCGTAAGACATCAGTCAACGAAAATTCTTGGACTCCCAGTTTACCCTGCTCGACAAGAACGTACTATGGATTATAATTCAAGATTTGATCTTTTAAAGGATATTTACAAAGCTTACAGTGATGAAAAGGCAACAGTGGTCGCTTACAAAGGCGGCCACAGAGAAAAGGAATATTTATCTAAATTAGAAATACCACACGTCAATTTAGAGAATTTTGGATGTCCTAAGTTTGAGAATTTAATTAAGACTTATGAAACTGAACTTAAACCTACTCAATGTGGATATCACACATTAGCAAAACAGAATAAGATGTTGGTGCATTGTGCTCAAGCTGAAGTAATTGCTTATAGAGATTGGGTCATTAATAATCTTGAGTAAGTACATTTATTTCACGATTTATTTATAAGATAATAGGTAAATAATAATAGGTAATCGTGTGCTCGAGTCCAGTGTTCGAAATTTTCACCCGAACGTAGCTCACCGGGAATAGAAGTGAGAAAAGTCAAATTTAAACCTTGAAAGCAAGTTTTGTTTTCTCTCAAGTATGAAGGATAATTCGAAAAAACGACTAAATTCTATAATTCGAAAATTTTCCTGTAACTGGAAACTCGCGATGTTTGGAAATGACCCCCCCCCCCTTAATACGTACGTTTAGAATTCCTGTTAACAATTTAGTAAAAAAATCTACACATTTAGGATCTTAAATATGTATGTATATATATATTAAATTCAAGATTCATAATGAAATAGAACTGTTATTGTTTTCAGTGCAAGTTATCCAGAGTAATGATTCTTTAGATTGTAATAAGTATATTTTTCTTTGCTTAAATATTTATTATTACAATTTATTATTGAAATTATTTATAGTTAAACATTTATTATAAATTATTATTAAAATTACAATTTTTTACGATCAATAAGGAGCATACTGTTTTTACTTCATTTTCAACATATATTCTAAAAAACTTGTATTCTCGATTCTAAGTTTCGGAGCGTCGTACCGGCCCGTTCCGGCACCACTACACCGCTGCTCGCTTCGCACACCGACCCCGAAACACCCATGGTGCACCAAGCAATTTTGATTAATTGATTGTTATATCTAAATAAAAAAATATTCCATCATAAATTCCGTAATTTTTTTCAACTATATTAAGGCAGGTTCCGGAAATTTAGTTTTCGATTTTGTTGATATGATTTAAACCTAACAAATTTTGCTCGTTTACCAATGTAAATTCATCTACAAGTTTTTTGGTAATATTTTATTTTATAACCGTCGTTGAACACCCGATCCAATTTTCGTGTTTACGATTAATGATGTTCAACTCCGTAGCCTTATAATTTTTAACCCAAACGAAACGACAAGGTAACTCCTGGATCAAGCTATTGATTTGCTGTGGGAACATGGAGGACTTTGCTACTCAACAGATTTAACGTGCATCAGTCACCATTTTTCATTCGGCTGGCGGGGATCGAACCCGGGAATTCTTGGACATGAGTCCAGTGCCCTACCAACCAGGCTTTTGAGTCATGGTTATAAAGAAAGTCATTCTTAATATTGTATAAATATTTGAAATAGTTAATTTGTATTGTTGGGGATATTTCCACATCATGAATCGTCTCGCCAACTACAATCGCCAAGGTGCCAAAAAATTTTTAACTAAATTTTAAAAAAAATTTAAACATGGACTGAAAAACAAGTGCATGTTTAAAAATACATGTAAAACATAATTGAAAAACTGTAATCTTTACCAGTGGTCGAAAAAATTACATTTTTTGTAGCTAATACAACTATTTTTTTTAATGTAGCAATTACAAACTACTATGAAAATGTCACTATAACTACTTTTCAAAGACAAATTTCTATGGAGCATTTGCATGCATGTTGAAAATTTCAAAAAAGTTATATATTGGAAGAAATTCATAAAAATATTTTAACAATAATGAATTTGCTTATTTAGACGTGGCAAATTATTGATAAATATCTATTCATGTTTATAAGCTGATTTTTTTATTTTAAAGTTACATGTTGAAAATTTCAAAATGTTATATATTGAAAGAAATTCATTTTTTTAACAATAATTAATTTGCTGCTATAAACGTGGAAAATTGAGAAATATCTCTTCACGTTCATAAGCCGATTTATTATTCTAAATCTGAAAGTTGAAAGTTTCAAAAAGTTAAATATTGAATGAAATTCATAAAAATATTCTTACGATGATGAAATCGCTTATTTAAACGTGGAAAATTATTGAGAAATGTCTATTTATGTTTATTAGCCGGTTTATAATTCTATAGCTACACGTAGAAAATTTTAATAAGTTATATAATGAAAAAAATTCCTAAAGATTTTTTTAATAATTGCTTATTTATCGAGGAAAATTATTGAGAAATATCTATTAATTTTTTTCGCTGATTACATTCTAAACCTTTTTTTTTTCTTGTTTTTGCTTTTTAGAAGTATGATTAGCCTTATTTACAGTTCAGACATCGTTTGCCAATACACCTTCGGAAGCAAAATTTTAAAAAAATAATAAGTTGTTCACCCAAAAAAGAAGTTTTTGTGTTCTAACAATCTGCGCTATTAAGCCGAGTTTTTTTAATATATTCTTTTATTTAAATTTTGAGTCCAGCTGCGATTTCTGACAACAAGCAGATGTCCCACACATTTGCTTGCGAGGGGGGGGGGATCATCATCACGTTGCGCTTCTTTTGAATTGGCCAAAATCGTTGTATGTTGAAATTAAATATACTCAGATAAAAAAATATCTATTCCAGGAGTTGAATAAAAAGCTGAGAAGTATTTTTATAATGCTTTTTACGAATGTTAATTGCAATTTTATGAATAGATTAATTATGAAATTATGTAACTTATTTATTTTATAAGCACATGCATACCTAAATTATGTAGCTACCAACACAAGTAAAACACTTGTAGATTTTTATAAAAAAAGCATTTAATCACAAAATTGTTTTGCTGATTGAAAATCATAAGTTAAATCACAAAACTGCGTTTTCTAAGAAAAGCCATTAACTTGATCACACAATTTCTCAAGACTTTAATCACAAAAAAAAATGTTTTTTTTTTTTAATCATTCTCTTTTGCTAGCATAATTTGAGTAAATCCGTACCACATGAGCGTAATTTTAATAAGGTATAAAATCGAAAGTAAAATCTCTGTTTAACAGAAAAGGGCAAGAGTATGTTGACTTTTTCTAAACCCCCCCTTTTTTTTTAAATTTTCTTTTCGAAATTCTGTTTGCTTCCAATTTGGTGATTTTGCATGAAATTCGAGATGTTCTTGAAATGTCTCATTTTTGAATTGTATTTCTGTGATTCTAAGTATAAAATAGAAAAGAAAGTAAAAATAGAAAGAATCGATATTAACTTTTTTACTGTAGTAAAAAAAGTTGCTGTAGAAGTAGTGTTAATTTTCTAATAGAAATATTTATGCTACAAATAATTATTATTAAACCGTTAAGCGATTAACTACTGTTAACTGTATAACGATAAGCTTCTCAAAAGTAGCGTCTCACAGAACAGACTCAATGACTCATTCTAAACGCTCAACCTAGGGATTGTTTTCATTGCGCTGCTGACTCACTTGTACACGTTCATCAAATTCAAGAAATCAGTCGTATTTCAACTTTATTTCTAGACCAAATTTTCCACATGAATTGGATCTAGTTGTGTATGGTTTGCAAATTAAAAAATTAGTTATAATAAGTATAAAAACAATAGTGTATTAAAGAATGCAGAGCTAAGAATGATTAAGAAGCCATTTTCTCTTCGATAAATTTGGATAATATTTTTCTTTATCTCAATTTTAAGTTTATGTCTATAACATATTTAATACAAGAAAAATAAATATGTACTTCTGGGCTGTGCCCCCTGCTCGCAAACGCTCGCCAACCTCCGAAAATTGCTACGCAATCTTATATAGTTTGCTTCGCAAACCAAGCTCGCTTCGCTCAATACTAACTTAGGTGCATTGCAAATGCACAAAATTCTAAGAATTCAAAACAATCATTCAAATCCATATAACAACTTTTTTTTAAAAAGAAAATTACTTCTTTTTAGTAAATACTAAGTCATTAAAATAAATTTGAATTCAAATAAATGACAAGTAATTCGTTAAACCTATTAGAAATGTGCTATGGTATAATTCGTGCTATAAATCAAAAATCGATAAATAAATTCGTAATACATAAATTCGTGAAAAAAGTGCTTTTGTCAAAATACTAAAATAGAGATCTATCGACAAAGACTACTCACTTTTGCCCAGCTTAATAGTATGAGATTGCCGCAGCTGATGCTCTCTCTGGTTATTTCAATTCCCATTTTTAAAAGCGCTATATATTGAGCCACCTCAGCTAGATTTGGCATGTGACATTTTTAGCGGCAATCATTGGTCGATTTTCCAGCGTTGCCACTCGGGAAGTTGAAATGAGGCTTTTTTTGTCACCGTGTAAGAGAAATATATATATAAATGTTTTTCTTTAGAAACTATTCATAAATTCCCTTTTATTTTATTTTTATTTATTTAAAAAAAATTTTTTATAACACAAAACACTTTCAAACTTAGCCATCGAAGTTATTTGTATGTTTTTTTTTCAGCAAGTTCAAATCCGATGGGGCATGTGGCCCATCCGCAGGACCTTTACATCTCTCATCATCTGTGTCTTTCTCGTGGGATCAGTGTTCGTCCTCCTCCTCAGACTCAAGCGACATTCTCCAGTACCACAATTCATAAAAGGGGCCCAAAGATTTCGCTCCTCCAGAGTGTGCGCCACGTTGGCAACAATTTTGGTGAATTCTGCTCCTGCCAACGCTCATCGTCGGCAGGTAGTACTTAACCAATGCCTCCTATAACTGAAAGCCTTCACACGGTTTTTTATAGGTAGTCCGATCAGACCACTTATGAAGTTAACCACAGTTAACGAAAGAGCCATTTAATACAAAATCTATTAAAAATTGGAAACTGGTATCAAATATATGCCTAGAAATTTGCTTAATTTGTGGATATGATTGGTTTGTCTTATTTACTTGTCAACCTCTACAGATTCAGTTCTCAAATATATATGATAAATTTCTCTCAAGTACTTTTAAAATAGAATTTGGGTTCATGCGCACAACTGGTTCGTTTTTTTAAATAAACTGCGCAGACTACTTATAAAATCCAGTGTGGAGGCTTTCTGATGCAGGAGGTGATGACTTAACCCAGTGACTATGTACTGCATATTGAACTTATATCACCTCTAGGTTTCCCTAGTTATCATTCCTCAAATTTTTACTTGTTTCCTCGTTTTTTATCGTCCATATGATGCAGTCAAATTCAGAGTTCGTATTTCTTCATTAGGGCCGTGATAGCCCAGTGATTACAACATAGGACTACAGTTTGTTGGAACCAAGATTTGATCCTCGATTCCGCTAAGACCCACAGGATCGAATCGCCAGTGGTCGGTAGCTGAGTAGTACCATGGATACAGGGATAAAGAGAAAATTTCCTTCCTCTTCAGATCTAAGTCTAAATTCAGAAAGTGGGCTCAAGAATGAGATCCCGTTTGTAGAGCATCAAAATTGTGATGGCACGTTTTTGGATCATCTTTAGGGATGTTTCCCACACCCGTCGACAATAGCCTATTTCGCAGCTCTAGTGCAACGTAAATAAAGTACCTACCTACCGTATTTGTTTTATTATTCTTGACGAAAAACATTTTACCCTGGTTTAAGTTTTAGTTCTGATTTTAGTTTTTTTTTTCCTCCTTCAGAATATTCTATTTTCTGCGAATACGGATTTTAAACTAATCGTTTTGTCCTTCGAAAATGACTCACACTTATTCAAACTAGGAGAATCAAAAGATTTGAATTTCAGCTCTAACTTATTTTTAACTGTAATTAATAATGCTAATAAAAGTCGAACAAATCGATAGTTCAAAGTTAAGAATCGCTCTTTATAAATAGAATAGGGGCCCCAGAGTTCTCCGTTACCCTGGTTTCGGTAACTCGTGTTTTTCCCCCACATCACCATATTCCAGCTTCTTACTTAAGCGTTCTGCGGTAGGGAGAAAGAGCAATTTGCCAAAACTATAACGGAGAGGAGGAAAGTGTTGAGAGTGGGAAAATCGCTTTACCTTAAGATGCCTTTTCTATTTATAATAAGTGTAGTTCTATGATTTATTATGGGAACATGGAGGACTTTCAGACTCGACCTCTGGTGGTACTGATTCAGAAGTTTCCTTGTCTTCTGGTATGGTTAAAAAATTACAAGGAGGCTACGGAGTTGAACATTAGTAGTCGTAAACCGGAAATTGGGTCCGTTGTTCAACGACGGTTATAAAATAAAATAAAAAGTATAGTTCTATATATGGTTGAGGTACATAGCCTTGATCGATTTGATAGCTATCTCAGAGTTTCTAATGTGTACAAGTAAAATATTGTACATTAACTACGAGTAAATGTACCTTTGATTCAGCATTCAAAAATAAAAACATCGAAAAGAATAACCTCATTTATCTAAATATCCCTCCGATATCTGAGGCCACCTCCGACCCCCTTAAACAAATTCAATTAGATTTCAGCCTTTTATTTTGAATGTGTAGGGGAGAGTTGGACAAAACGGGATACCATTATTGTTTTTATTTACTGTGGAATATCTGTTAAGGCAAGCCATGCATTTCTTTTTTTGTAGCTATAGTATTTATTGAAGCACACAAAAAACATATTTTAAACTAATTTNTATGTTTAATGTGCTATTCACGCTTGCCTATGTATCTATGTGTAACGACAGAATTTTAAATTACATCATGTGCAAGTGAATTCTTAATTACATTGTATGTTTTTAAAAAGCTACGAGCTGTTCTTTGAAAATGAAAATTAAAAAACTTGTAAAGATATGAGATAATTTCTATATTTAAGAGAAAATTTTAGATCAAAAAGATTATTACTTACGATCTAATTCTTTATTTCATTTAAATGTATTCATTACTGGGTTAAATTTAAAATACTAATTCATATGTTGGCAAGTTCTTTTACATAAAACAGAAGCAACTCAAGTCCATGATATCAATTATTGAATGGTGATGGGTTGGTTTCCAGTTTCGGTTAAGCAAATAGCCTCATTTCATGGCTATGGTAATATAAAGACTATGGATAATGCCATGGAATTTTTCTTTTTGTCAAATGATAGTACCTGAACCGGTAAATTCTTTTCTTAACTAAAAATACAATACAATACTAGTTTTCAAGCGTGGCAGATTGCATATTGAACAGATCGCTGCTTCAAAACTAAAACGACACATCTGCAGGCATTACACGTTTGCAGATGTGTCGTTTTAGTTTTGAACCAGCGAGATGTCTTTATGCTTATGTGGCCACCATTCTTCCAAACGCTCTGTGGCATGGATCAAATCCTGCTGTTACCCTGAATTTATCTTTCGCCCTATCTGTTCTTCAACTCCTTTATTTACATTTAAAAATTTCTCCAACAAATGTGTCCTATAGTATTTGACTCGAGAATTCCATATTGCCATTTTACAATAGCAAGTTTGTCTGCTATATTAAATTCCTGTTTCACGCCCCTAAGGTATCTAGAAACTTTTGAGATACTTCTTAAAACCGAAAGAAATTTAGAAAACTTTCGGTGTATCCCTCCGCTTATGTTATGCTTACGAGGGGATGTGTGAACAGGCTTAATGTTCTAAGAAGTTTCATTAATGTTTAAATTTGAGCGTAATTTTACCATTCATAAGAGTTTTTTGTAATTCATGAATTCTGACGGATTGTGAGTCTAAAATAAATTTCAGAAAGTTAATATCACAACATAAATAAAGTGTAAGGTTTACCATGTTTTCAGTTTTATCCTACATTTAGCTTATTTGTGTAAAATATCACCGCTAATTATTTTTTGGGTTGCATCTTGCAGGGCATAGCATGCTTGCGGAATCTTCCAAATTCTTATGTTGTTTGTTTCGTTGACATTTAAAATTAAAAAAACGCGTTCTATTGTAAACACTACAAGTATAATAATATTTGATGGAGCTCTTTTTCAAGTTTTGGCGTAAAAATCAATCGTAAGTAGTGACCCGAAAGGTCTTATAGCGAATTTTAACCCGTTCCCGTTGCGCCACCTGTGCTTAGCTTCACTCGGTTAAACATCCATACTGTTAATCCAAAACTAATTAGGCAACTTCGAAGCTCACAGAACACTGTAGAGAGATAAATATTAGTTTGAAATATTTCATAATGGATAGGGTTCACGCCAGCAATGAAAATATAGTGGTCCAATAGCATCACCTAGGTATTCATAAAGTGGTCCAAAAACTTAATGTGGTAGATAAATTCGAAAGGAAAAAAAAATCGAACATTACAATTACACAATTCATATTATTGTGTGGCTTAACTACCACCACAAATATTTAATACCAATTCACTAGTATATAAGACATGTTAACTTGATTGCATCTTGAGGTACATTTTGGTAGATGAAGGTTGCCATGGTCGATAATTATATCCCCTTAATTGTACTCATCAAAAATTATCGTTATTTCTATTTCCCTTCAACTAATTAAGTTCACTGCCTTAAAATAATTGCAGATTAGTATTTACTAAATTTAAGTGAAAAAAATATAAAATGATATTAGTAAATAAATTCAAGAGAAAAATTAAAATGCTGAGGAAAATAGAGAAATTGAGAGTCAACAAAATATATTAATAATTAATTATATAATTTTAAATAAAGTCATAGATCGGGTTCATAGATCTGGTCTGACTTCGTCAGCCCAGAAGAGGATAAGCAACAACAACAAATATAGTCAACTCTAACGGAGCAAAAAGCATTGTTTTGTTGATGAACAATTATACTTTCAATACATGAATGCAAAGCACAGCACAGTTTGTAAATTTGAAATTTCAACATTTATGTTTAAACTCTTTGTCCCGGACACTTTCAGGTATGCCATTTGAATACCACGCATTTGAATTCCGTACCATTGCGTAGAACAATAAAATTAGTACAACTAAGTTTTTTTAAGATGTACGGAATTCGATGGGAAATTTTTTTCCCCGTTAGTATTTTGATAATTCCAGACATTTTTCAAGGTGACAAATTTGTCGCTTATGCGTATGATTTCAGCGAAATTTGTAGAACATTTGCGATAGTCGCCATATTAGCGTGAACCCTAATAATAGGTATTATAAAACCAGCATTGTTTGTAGAAGGTTGAATAATAAATTTTAAAAACTACTGTTTTCTAGTACATTAAAATAGGCAAAAATAGTTTCATATCCTGAAACAAAAAACGTAAGAGGTGCATCTCTTTCTAAGGACAAAATTACCATCAGTAGTGATAATATGGTAATAAATTCAAAAAGAAAAAACTATTACTTCTAGCATTGTCATCTGACACGGAGCTTCTGGGAAGTTTTTAGAGCTCAAGATAGTCGGCAAATGCTCAGAATAACAACGAATTCCTTAATAAATTTTGCTCATATAGGTGAAGAAGGGATCGGAACTTGCATTGTGAAGAGTTGTGTGCTCTTGCTAGTTAGAAAATTATCAAAATTTTGATTGCAAAATTTTACCCTCTCGGACACAAATTGATGTAAATAAATCGTTTGGTTATAATTGAAGGAACAAAATAAACTATGATTAAAAAAATTCGGTGAAGACCTAACTTTTTGGACCTTATTTCTTAAAATACCTATTATATCCATATATTTCCGACTTGTTTCACTGTTGTAGCATGATTGTTTTTGTTTTTCATAGAATAATTTATCTAACTGTTATGACAAATATATTTGTAAAAAATGAAATGTTTATGATTTTGTAGTATATAATGGAATTTTTGTATTTCATTTTTGCAACGGATTAAAACTTATTGTTTATATTCTAGACATTTTATGTCAGATTTATTTTCTTTACTCAGAATGTACTACGAAGGTTCTTTTTGTCTAAGCGTTTTATTTCTTTGCAAATTTTATGAAAATAACGGCGGCATATTTATTCGACTCAATAAGTTAGCCACTCTACAATATACTACAAATAACGAAGAGAACATGTCAGTTCAATAGGTGAAAAAAGATTGCTTCGATGGAAAAATATTATAAATAGTAAAAATTATATATTTCACCAGTGATTGATTCCATTCTAGAGTTTGTCATGGCTGAAGTTTGTCCAAAATACCAGTTAGTTACAGGTTCCCAAAAAAATTGTGCAGTTAAATGACTATCTACTTATTGTCTGTTCTTCAAGATATATTTGCAGTCCACTGCCATTGTTGACGATAATGCTCTCAATAATACTAAAAACTTTGGTTCGTTGTCTTATATATGTTACTCTCAATAACGAGTAACATCTCTACATCCGCACATAGCTGGCAGAATTGCTAACTGGTGACTGGAATTAACACTTAGAATAGGCTACTAGCCATGCGGGAGCCCCTGCACTGAGTAACATTTTATTATCTCATTTTATCATTACTGAGTAACATGATGGCAATTACTACTTTACTTCAAAATAGTGCAATGAAACGCTATACATAACTTTTGGATCTATGTGTTTCAGTATACCAAGAACCAAGGATTTTCTTTTAAGCTGCGTTGTGTAAAGTTGCCGCCACCCTATTTGTAATTAAGTAACACTAAAATTTATAACTATAGTAAGATATACGCATAAGGTCTGTACAGATATTTTTACGATACAATATAAAATAAAGAATCAGTAATTTAATATGCATCTATATAATATTAGAGATCTCCCAAAAATAAAAGAACATGGCGCTTTTTCACAAACAAGGGCATCTTCAGTTTTGAAGGGCACTGATCTTGCAAATTATATCAGTTATATGTATCTAGATTAGTGCCCTTCAAATTAATATTGAATGGAGTAAAAGCATCTGAGTTTTGTGTAAGCTTTCTTATTTATTGAAGTTAAGATTTAACTACACCATTGAATGTTTGTATGAACTTTCGATTGGGTATTAACTTGATATAACACACAATATTTAGAGTTTCTCTGCACCAAATTCGGATACGTATTACAACACAGTTTTTATTGTATGATAATGATAGTGCCAAGTCCGTACAGCCAGATTTCCGGCTGACGGTACCCATTAGCAATATCACTGCAGCCATCAATAATTTCACTGGCAATAACCTTAAATGATCTCGCCTCCAGGTACAGTATTCCTCAGTATTTAGAGCGCAAATGAAGCAATCGCTCGTATCCGCCTAACCGGCCACGACTACCTGATGGTGCGTCTCCACCAATCTGGTTTGAAATCGGACGTAATGTGCCTATTGTGTCATAGCACCATCATGAACGGCGATCACTATCAGAATGCACTAATCACTATCAGAACTGCACTAATCTCACACCCTATTTACACGAGGTTTGACATCAGGCACGTGACGTTTCACCTCTGATTCTTCGAATTAGCTTTCAGGCAAACGTTTCTAGGCGAAGACAACTTCGAGTCAGGCTATAATTCAGGAGCGTGATGTTTGGCTCTTTGCGCTATGTGGTTATTTTTCACTAATGGTGGCAAGGTACTTAACATCATGAATGGTGTAAATTTGATTGGCCATATTACAGGCTTATGACGTCAGAAGACTGCTTCCTGACGTCTTTTTTCAGTCCATGTAAACAGGGTGAAACAATTTTTCCGGGTGATAATACTGTTTGCTACAGGAATGCCGTATGGCCAATGCCAATACGGGTATCGGAAATTAGGTAAAAGCCTTCCATATCCTTTTGTGTACTTTATTTATACTTTTTACGCATTTTATTCATTACTTCTTAAGTGCTTTATTCATCTTCTTTAGCCATACTTATATGCAAAATTTTATAGCTTGCTGCAGTGCTGCAAACTAACTTGTTACATGTCAGAAGGCGAAAAATTCGAGGGGCGAATTGTTCAATTTTAAACCAAAAAAGAAAAAAAATATTATTCATATTTTGCAGGCTATACGGGAAACATGGGGTCATATAGCGGTCACAAGAAAATTAGATATTGCTGTCGCTTTTGGCATCGGGGAAGCTTCTGATGAAATTTTGCAAAGACCCGTGGACTGGGAAGCAGAGACATTTGGTGACATCTTCCAATCTTTGGTGACAGAGGAATACCGGACTCTACCTTTGAAAGTTCTAAGTCTCCTTGAAAAAGTGAAAGACGCCTGTGACATACCTCCCTTCTTCATTGTAAAGGTGGATGACGATGTATTTGTAAATACTTACGCTTTGAAAGATCTTCTTAAAAGTAAGTGAACGCCTGACTTTTTCCTATTGTTATAATGAGGAAAATATCATTATTAAAAGGGGTGTAGTGATATTCATACTTAGTGGACACCTTATGTTAGCTGCCACTTGAGTTTTTAAATTAGCAATATGTCACGTTGGACAAAAATGTTTTAATTTGATACACATTAAAAAAGAAATATTTTACTCTTCCCTTTTTTGGGGAGGAAGAACGAAGCAGAGAGCCATCCCTTCTGCAGAGGATCAAAATTCTGATAGCATGTCTTTGGGATCTTACTTAGGGATGTTTCCAAGACCGTTGCCAATAGCTCATTGCGCAGGTATTGTATGACGTAAATAAATTACCTATACTCCAGTAAGTATATCTAAAGCAAATGTTTAGGTTTGACTCCGAATTTGAGTTTAAACATATATAGAGAGAATAGAGTTGTAGGTTACAGGCAAGACTTTTAGCGACATTTTCAACTTTAAAAGAAAATGCCAAAAGTCTATTTTTTTTTCTTTATGTTTCTGTATGTTGTTTAACTTTATTGCTATTTTATATTTTTTAATGATTTATACATAAATCTTTACAGTTTGTTAGACTGTCAATGTTGTAAAAAACACTTTATGTAAATAATTTAAATGCATCTTTTTGCTCATAAAACTTTTTTCTTATAATTTAGGTTGATAGATATTTCCAGGCTTTTTAGTTCTTCTCCCACTTACATGCCTGTATTCAATAACACGTGATCAATTCGATTTGAGTGTAATAAATATCACTTGGAGTGTTATTAACTATTAAATTACGAACGAATTATTTACTATTGTTGTTAAAATTATATATTCTTTTAAATTTACCACGTTTGAATACAAATTGGGATGTAATAAACCAGTCAATGGGAGGGTTTAATTTTAAAGTAATTAATTTGGTTTGAGTGTAATTAACCATTTTCTCTAAAATTGCATATCCATATAGGTTTGGAAGCTGAAGCTTACGATATGAAAATTTGGTGTCTGGTATGGGAAGGGATGCCTGTAATGAGAAACAACCATTCCAAGTGGTCAGTTTCAAGAGAACGATATCCTCATGATTTCTATCCCAAGTATTGTTCAGGATCGGCCTATGTTCTAAATCAAAGAGTTCTTAGGGGCCTTCTGAAGCATCACTCCCGCGACAACCTGATACCTTTCGAAGATGTGTACATAACAGGAGTCCTTGCTGAAAAAGTCGGCGTAGAACACGTACAAATTGGAACAAGATACGCTTTCGAATCTGTAAGTGAAGAGGGCATAGCTAGTGGTCAGACTATTTTCGCACATCTTGGCCCAGAGGCTGATGAAAGAGTGGAACACTTCTGGAATTTTTTGTCATGGAAAAGAAAAGAAAATCTATCGTTTGATGGATTATGATGACGTATTTTCAAATTTTATTCTTTTAAAACATGTGCCTTATTTTAGGTCCTGGTGTTTTTGTTATGGATGAACAATATTATGAACATTTCGTAATCCAAAACTGCAATGTTGCAGAAAGTTGCATAAAGATTATGACATGTCGAATACGAGATTTAAAATAGTACGGAAATTCTTAAGAATTATTTTCTTGAAATTTTATCAAAAATTGTTTTAGTTTAAATTATTAATTGGAAGTTTGATTTAAAAAAAAATATTGTAAAGAAAGTGTAAAGATTTTTTTTATTAAAACAAACTTGTTTCAATTTTAAGCAATTATTTATAAGTGTGCTGCATTATTTCTTTGAACAGTTGTCTTTTTACTTCTTTGAACAGTAGTTTTCTCTGATTCGAATAATGGGTTTATGAAATATAATTCGATCTCTTCCCTCTCGTAATTTTTCAACAAAAATGGGTATAGTCAGGGAACTTGATACCCTATCAAATTGGGTGATTTAACCGTAATTTGTACTTGGACAATAGAGGATTAACTGACTGTTCTGCGCATAAAAAGTATTTTAAACTGCAGTCTTCTGCACATATCAAAACCAGTTTTTCCATGTTATTAGATAGGGAAATAGTGTCTCGAGGAAAAATATACTCCTAATTTTACCCATTTGCGAGACCGTCAGTGGGTTAACCTAATGTCATTTTTTCCCTTCAATTTCCTGAATTTTATACTTAAAATACGTAATACATTTTTTATTATAATCTAAAGGAAGATTGTAAAACATTACGTTTGTAAATGTCTAATAATTTTTTTGAAAACTGTGCCAATTAATTTTACTTTAAATGAATTTAGATGTCTCTTGTGGGGGCTGTAAAATTTTGCGGGCCTAGGGCTTCAGTCTCACTAGAACCCCTATTTATTCGGTCTTAGTTGGACCCTATCTATAATTTAATTTCAAATCTGTAGATTAATATGATTTAAAAAATTAAATTAATCGTCATTTTATGTTCAGGTGGGGTACATTTTGTATCTCAGTCTATGTTGTGCGAAGATAGCGAGAATCAAGAATTGAGATAATTAATTCGTTATCAATTTATAATACATGGATATAAATAATTATATCAAAAAATATTTTATTTTAATATTTTGGGCGGAAAAAAAATAATTTCATTGTGGACACAGACTTATTTTAACAAATTTTTATTGTGCCAGTATCTCAATTTCAATACTAATTTTTTAGTAACATCTTATATATAGGAATAAACTAACATACAAAACACTGCCAATCAAGATTAATTGTTCAGATAAATAAATACATATATTGAAAGTTCTGTTTCTTCAAAAGATATATCACACTTTTAGGTAGGCTGGGATAGCCTGGTTGGTAGCTCGCGAGTACCATCCCCGCTAACTGAAGACTCCTAGTGTACAAAATGGTGACTGCTGCACCCAAATTTGTTCGGGTCACAAACTACTCCAAGTTCTCATAACAAATCCGATACCTCTTGGGATTCTGGATCGGAGATTGATCGTGCTCTGGTTCAGGTCAAAATTACGATCGCGAGTGGATGGTGTGTGAATGTGACCTCCCAGTAAAACGGGCTGTGACGTATGCGTGTGGCAGAAGGCGAATTCCAAGTCAGAGATGGCACCCCTTTCGCTTTAATTGTATACCGACAACAACTGACCTTTAGGTAACACAAACGCAAATAATTTCATTTTCCTTGACTTTTTGTGTATTTTATTTCAATTCCCTTATATTCCTTGATTTTTCCAGACTGATAAAATTTCCCTGCTTTTTACTGAATTCTGAATCCCCCTGAATTTACACATTTTATTGGCATTCATTAACATAAAAATAAATTAATTTTATTTCATTATATTTTATTTGAAAGTATGCTTTTAAGACACTAAGGCTCGATATTATGTTTTAATTTAAATCGTTAGGATTTAAATTAAAATTAAACCTGAATTTTGAAAAGTCTTTTATAAAACCTCTTTCATTTTATTAAATTATGTAAATTCTGGGTTTATAGCGAATATCGGAAACCTCTACCCCGTACAAAGTGTTCATACTTACTATTATAATCATAACAATTATATATAAATATATTTGTAATAAAATTGATGAATATGTTTAAAAGTATAATATGATGTATATATGAAAGTATATATTGATGAATATGCTTAAAAGTAAATGCACAATATAAAGCTGAGATTGATTGGTACAATCTCTAGCTAATTCAACATTAGATATCTAAAAATTGATCATCGTAAAAGGACGAAGAAATTTCAAGGAACTTATACAATATATTCTCTTCAGAGCCAAAATTAATATAATAAAAATTACTGAAATTACGAACATTCAAGGTAAATAAGTTACTTAAAGAAGAGAGAAACATTCGGAAGCTTGAAGTAGTGGGTTCGATTCCCGCCACAAATCTGAATATTCTTTATACACGTTTGTTATGTTCACGTTGCACTTGAGCTGCAGTTATCTTTATGTTCTACTTCAATAATTTGTGCTGTGTTGTAAACTTTGAAAAGCCGTTCCGAGTGCACAAGCTTACAGATTTATTTCTTGTGCACAGGTTGCCGATTTAGGGACTTTACTTACGCAGTATTAGAGCTGCACAGTGACGATTGTGAGCGCTCTAGGGCGACAGTCTGGGAAATATGGCTAAAGATGATCTGGAGACATACCATTTTAATTTTGATCCTTTGCAGAGAGGATCTCACGTGTGAGGCCACTTTCTCAATTTCGGCATAAATCTGAAAGGGAAGAAAATTTGTACCAGATTTTACAAGCATTTATAATGCTGAAATTACGAATGTCTTAGCGGAACTGAAGATCGAACTCCGGCCCCTCGGACTGGAGTCAGATTCTCTACCCACGGCCCCCTCTTTTCAAAATTGTCTGGGCAAGTCTTCGGATCATTATCAGGGATGTTTCCCAGACCGTCATTAATAACCCATTTTGCTGCTCCAGATGGTCAGCGTGCTCAAGAAACTAAAAAAAATTGAAGTAAAATTTTTTTACGAATATTCCATAATTGCTTTATCTTTCCAAAGTAATATTCTTAGAATCGAAACTTCTCTCAGGGATTCACTAACACAAATAATTGTTTAAAAAAAGTAAAGAGATGAGTTTCCGAATGTTCTTTCAGAAATTAAGCTGAAAGTATTTTAGTTTTTTTTTGATATACTACTACATCAGATTTACGAAATGAAAATATAGTTCAACTATTACGGCGGGGAAACCCTGGCCGATCAATGTCTCCTGGTAAACGCTCTGTTAAGCGTAGAGGTGGCGGGTTTGAATCCCGCCGTAACCCTCGATGTATTCTTTGTGATGTCCGTCTCTGTATCGGGCTACTTATCTTTCTACTTAACAAAGGTTTATAAGCCTAAATTGAGCACACTAACCTGCATATGTATGTTATTCCAATAAACAATCCAATAAAATAAACGATTACGGCAGGAAACTAAGTAGCTATCTTTCCGCGTCATATGATTTGGTGGATGGACTGCTTCTTATTCACAGTTGTGCCAGCATAACTGCGTAAGCATAATTTCAATTGTTTTGAGAGGTATGTAGATGTCTCTATAATCTCTCTGCTTGACATTAACAAGTCGCTCATGGGCTGCAATAGCGGCACAACTCAAAAAATCATGTTTTGAGATAGGTGGGTTTGAAGTTTTCATTGTTAAGGAGAATGCATAAGAAAAGCCTTAGTTTATTTGAACGAAGATTACCTTCAAGTTGAATTATGAGTATGCTAGTATTGCTGCTGAAAAAAATATGTAGTTTCATATTTACACCTGTTCTTAGTCCAAAACGCGTGTTTTTTGAGTTGTGCCACTATTGCAGTCCATAAGCGAAGTATTAATGCTGTCTTATGCGATTTCACTATGCGAGTAAGTTCCCAAAATAAATAAATAATAATAAACGGAACACTCTGGATAACTTTCAATCTAGTGATTTGATCTTCAAGAACTGGGACTCGATCTAGGCTTAAAAGGGTGATCTAATGTATAAATATGCTAATTAATTAGTGCAGGCGCTATTTTAAATTATGAAATAACACAAAAACGTGCTTTCTCTGAATAATCGAGCCTTTTTTTCTACTGATTTGTATTCCTATCCTTCAAAATTTTTTGTATACTTTACAATTCATAATTTTTTCGATTATTATTCAATAATACGAAAATAATAAATAGTTATTAAAAATTGTATTTTTTCTTTGGCATTGGATCAAAAAATGCTATAATCGTCCAAAAAATTCTCTACATATAGCGAAATGAGCAAAAATTAAGATTAAGGGGTCCAAACTTCGAACCCTCTCCTGACCAAGCTATTGGGACCATGTTTCCCAGATTCTGGCTATTTAAAGTGCATATTATTAATTAAGTAACTAATTACTCTACATATTTGAGGTCACCTCTTTAAAATATTAAGACAGAGTCCTGGTAGGTAAAGATCCAATCATTAGAACAAAGATTGCATTATTATTTTTTGAGCACTGCACACATTATTGTATATAGAAATGTGTATTGTTTGGCCATGTATATTTTTGCAATAGAATCTGACACCAAGTTTAAAATAAAACCTTGATATGAAACATTAATTTTGTGCAATATAAACTATGAGGTGTAGCATTTTCGTTATATATAATCAATTAGTCATTCACTTGAGAAGTTCTGTTCAAGAGTTAGTTATGACAACCATTAAAATAAGCTCTTATTATAAATATGTAACGTTCTGGTGTTCCTCGATCATAGTAATGACTCTTGTTGGCGCTATGAGTAGGACCCTTGCTGGACAAACGCACTACAGCAGTCTCCATGTTTATTACTTCTGCTTCTGAAATTAAAAAATAAAAATAATAAAGTCATTTATTCCATTTCAAAGGTTTTCTTCGTCAAAATAAAAAATAAGTCACAGTTTAAGTAAACTGACACTGTAAGTAAACTTTGATTTTGTATTTATAATTGCACCGTTAAAGTGTAGTTATTTTACAGAACCGTTAAAGTGTGGTGTAAAGTCTATTCTACAGAATTGTTCTGAAGTACCGTTAACGTGTATTTATTCCACATATTACATTAAGGAACAATTTTTTTCTGTTGCATGAATATACCTGAATATTTTCACTGATTCGAATCTCTCTCTCCAAGATATAGTTTCTTTTAAACAACACTTTTAGAACGCTTTTGCTAAATGTAAACGTTTATAATGACGTAAACGTTTATGAAATATAAATGTAAATATTAATTTACGCAAAATATAATGTAAACGCTACAAAGCAACAGCGTAAATGTTGTGACAATCTTCTAGGACTGTTAGAGCACAGCATAGGAACCCATGTCCGGCTATGTCGTCATGTGCAATTGAGAACTGTTTCTTCGTGTGTTGAACAGGTCATAATTGGAAAAACGTCCCTAGCCTCGTATGACGACATTTTCAGGACATGTGTTCCTATGCAATTATAATCTTAATGATATGCCCTATCACCTATCTGAAATATCGAGTTAACATATTAGTTCATAAAACATCAATTAACATTAGCTATATAAAACATCAAGTTACTGCAATTTACATATTAGTTTACGAAATCAATCATTTAAAAAATATATAATAAGAATCGAACGGTTTAAAACACCATTACATAATGCCATGTATTTAATGTGTCATATTTGATACTTAAGATGTTTCAGGCGTTCGGGTATGTTAAGAAAATACTTTTTTTGACACATTTATTCATCTTAGACGTCATAAACAAGACAAAACCGTGGTGTCCTTTACAACAGTGCTCCCCAACCTTTTTTATCACAGCGGACCGGTCAATGCTTGATACTGCGTTCTGCTGAGGGGTGACTGCGACGTTGGTGGTTTATATTTAATGTTGTTCTGATTTAATGATTTTAATTTAATAGTATTTAAACGTGACTTCAAAATAAAATACTATTACATGAGCGGTATTAGTGCGGCTTTAGGTGATGTCGCTTAGCTCCCGTTAAGCTCTCGCTCATAGAAACAACCCCGAGAAAAATGGAACAATCCCAATCGTACAAACCGGAGATAAATATATCACAGAAAATATAATGTAAATACTTATATATTCCGAGAGCGATCTGAGGCAAGGGGGTTTGAGATCACCGTTTTACAGTGTTATAGCATTTTTAACAACCTGTGTGTTTTTTACAGTGATTTAATAACATAACACACAGACCGAAAAAAAAAAACCCGGATCATCTTGAATAATTTTTGATTTAATGATCTGATCTTTATGTTCTATGACTTAATTTTAATGGTTTGAGAAGGGAGGGGGGACCTCAAATATGTTAATTAATTAGTGCAGACGATATTTCAAGTTAGGAAATCAGACACACAGGCGTATTTCCTTTGAATAAACAATTTAAAACAGTCGTATTTTTAAATTTTGATTTCTCAGGAACTATTCGACCGATTTCGCATAATTTTTTTTTTTGTTGCCATGCAAAACTATTTTTTTTTTAATGATGTAAAAATTAATATACCTTTTCAATTCAAAGTTTTCTTCTTATTAAATAATTTAATAAAAATAATCAAGGTTTACTAAAAGTTATTTTTGCTTGGTATCTTTGGATTAACAAATTTTATATCTGTGTGCAAAAATTTTTCCAATTCTCTTAAAAAGTTCTCGAAATACGGCTAAATACGCAAAAAGAAAATTTATATTAAGAGGTCCATACTTTGAACCGCTTGATCTTGACCTGACCTATCCCAATGTTTTGAGGGCCAGAAATCCGAATCTATCCGGAAAAAAGGTATATTTATCCAGAAAAATATATTTTGCGTCTTATTTAATAACTTAAAATATCGTTTGATTCAACTTTTAATTAGCATAGTATATTTTAACTCTTTTAACTTTTGGCATTGAGTCCTAGAACGTGAAGATCCGATCATTAAATCAAAAGTTATTACGGGTGATCCATTTTTCTTCTTCTGTGCATAAATAAACATTAATAATGGATGGGATATATCACTTTCAAATAACATCTCCCTCGTTCAAGCACATCATGTCTTTTGCTCAAGTTCAGAAGGGACACGAGACTATTTTGTTATACAGGGTGTCCCGAAACGACTGCATAAACTCTGCACAGCTAGATTCCTTGTTAGGAGTACATAAAAACTGCCCAAGGAAGCGTTCCTGTACGATCCATAGTTTACGAGAAAAATACGAGAAACAAAGTATGACGTGACAGCCGGTGCAAGAAAAAACACTTTATTGAACATATCAACAGCAGTATACAATACACAATTTGAAGCAGATGTTCAAAGTGTCTGTTTTAAACATTATCGTCTGGAAAGATATGCAAATACTGTTGCTCATATGTCCGATAAAGTTTTTTTTTTCTTGTACCGGCTGTGACGTCATACTTTGTGTTTCGTATTTTTCTTGTAAACTATGGATCGTACAGGAACGCTTCTTTGGGCAGTTTTTATGTACTCCCAACGAGGAATCTAGCTGTGCAGAGTTTATGCAGTCGTTTCGGGACACCCTGAATATACGCTGCTCTACTTGGGTGTGGGATGCAATGTGGTTGTGGGATGCAACGTGATGCACGTGCGTGCAAATATTTAGGAGCTGCTAGTAAGATGAACTGTTAAGGCATGTGCGAATAGCATTGCCGTGCGGTCTCATGCAGGGAGAATATTCCGTACAACTAACCTTCGAAAATAACTTACTATTGTGTTGAATCCAATCTGAAACCTTCTTCATAGTTTGTTGCAATGTTTCAAACGTCATCGAAAACGAACTTGAAGATTGCAATTGTGCAGGAGCAAACGTTTTGCAGCTATATCGAATAGGTGTGGGAGAAAATTTCTGACGTATGTAAGCCACACGCAATATTTTCACAAAAAGAGTTAAGCGTCCTTCATGCTCTGTATAGCTCATTTTTCTTGGGTTGATTCCTATTAATGAAACAAGTGAAGAAAAAAAAATCTAAGAATATATACATTTATATATGTGTGTGCTTGATTGTTTTTATTAGTTTTCTTCGAATTATATTTTCGTTGCTTAAACTTTCCAATTATTATTATTATTAGTGTTTTTTTCATAGATGGAAACACTGAAATGTAATTAGCTATATATATTTTTTTACCAATTATTTTATACAATACAGCTAAAAGCACATTCATTATATAAATATTTCTTACTTTTAACAATTTTTCTTAATTTTCTTCGTTTTTTTCTCTTTTCTTTTTATCCTTACTGTCTTTATTGTAATATATATATATATGTAATACAAAATATAAATACTTTTGTATTAATAAAAGAATTAAATCTCTTTCGTTTTCATAAAATGTCTTTGTTAAAGAATAAGCGTAGAGAGATTCTATTTTAGGAATTCAAGGCTGAAAACATACCATTGAAATATAAATAGATTTATATTTCAAGGGAAGAGTTATTTATAGAATCGTGCCCTTTTTCAATTCCATATAAGGAAGCAGAAATGATTTTCCTTAATGCGTAAGGATACAAGGAATGTACGAATGTGCCTTTTTACTTCAAATCTATGTTGGTATAAAACGTAAGAACGCATAGTTTTGCGTGTCCTTTTCATCATGAT